TTCTGCCTCTGGAGAGAGGGAAGAGCCGTGTGGATGGGGTGGGGAGATGGGGGAGCCCAGGCTGGGCGGTGCTGAGGGGGAAGCAGGCGGGATTGCCCGTTGAGGTGAGGGCAGCAGCGCCTCAGGGTTAGGAATAAAGCAGGGTGGTTTGTTTATCCGGTTTTAAAGTGCAGGTTTTACAGTACGTTTGGGATTCTGACCAATAAACCCACACTTGGGAACTTCCTACTCCAGTGTTGAGATATGAAGAGTTATAAGAGCTTGCCCTCCGTTAAATTCACATTAAACTGAAAGTTTGTATTTTACATGGCCTGAACACCCACTGCAGATACTGCTCTGTGACGGTTTGTTTTAATTAATGAGCTCGTTTCGTTATTCCTGTGTGCACCCTACCGATATTGTTGGTAAACATAACTGTTTTGTAACTTTTCTGGGTATTTGTTTTTAGGACGAGTGATGAACTTTCCCACAAACTGGCTACAAATGTTTATTTCTCAGAACAGAAACTGCTTTTCAGTTCACAACCTATTAGGGTGAAATATTGTTTGTTTTCACTAGAGGTCCCTGTTTAATCACAATGAAAAGAAGGAGCTCATACTGAATGCCTGTCTTGTCAGATTGCAGATACCAACGCTCTGCCAAGCCTGAAAGAACTCCTGGAGTCTGCTCCAAACACAGATAAAAGGACCTGGGATTTGTTTAGTTGGATTTTATCATCTAAGGTCTTTGTGATACAAAGTACTAAGAAACAGGAGGTAAGTTTCGAATTCTGAAAGTCTTGATTAGAATTTGTCTCTTAAGGCAGCCTTGCACTTCAGAAAGTATTTCCTCCTGCTACAGGTTAGTTGGTTATTGTGAGAGCTTGACAGTTCAACATGAATGCATTTTTTTTCTGTATATAGGAAGGTTTTGTTTCTTAAATACAAATTTCAGGAACAGTAGTTGGAAGAAATAGTTATCACTGTCGGTAGTTGATGAGGGGCAGTGATTGTGGTTGGTTACTCCCATTAATGCAGCATGTACCCGTGTGTTCTAGACCAAGACAGTCCAACTGGGGTGTCATGGAGCTAGGACCTGCTTCTCCTCAAGAAAAACAACTTTGTACTTCTGCATACTGCCCCTCAAAATTGAAAGGTTAAGAGCCATTGAGGTACTTCTGTAACAGGGATCAAAATAGCTGTAGAGATTAGCAGCAAGATGAAAACAACTTCTGTTTTCACTTTTTCTTCCTCTTCCAAGATCAGCTGATGGTTGTATGGTCTTAGCAACCAAACTGGCATGGTGGAATTGTGATATTGGCCTTACATCATCAGCTAATTCATAATCACAATTCAGGGGGTTTTATTCTGGAAAGAAGAATTAGTATTGAGCTTTGATTGCAAGGAACTGTCACAACTCTCGCTGTCTGCTTACTTCTGAACTGTGACGGTGTTGAATTCTAACACAGCATAACCAAAACACTTAAAGCAACGTGAAATAGGGACAGTAAGCAAGATTTCCAGTGAGTAATCTGACCTCATAAACCAACACTCGTATTCCTTCCTGTTTTCAAGTACGAGAAGATCCAAGAACTCACAGGGATGTCTGGAGCTGTTGTTCCTGCTCCAGATTACCTCTTTGAGATCGTGTATTGCGATCAGATGAATACCAAGTTTGCCGAGACCAAGGGAGAGCGGGACCTGATCTACGCCTTCCACGGGAGCCGCCTGGAGAACTTCCATTCCATACTGCACAACGGCCTGCACTGCCACTTGAACAGGGTGAGGCTCCTGCTATTGCCACCATCCTCTGTGAATCACCTGCAGCTATTGACGCTTCTTAAAAACAGGCCCAAATTCCTTTAGGGATACAGAATGTGCTCATGATCTTAACGCTGCAGTTTTCACTTCAGTGTAGGCCCTTGTGGATGGTCGTGTTGGATTTTCTAGCACAGCCTGAGGGGAAAAACTGGAAGCAGTGCAAAACCCTTTTCTGTGGTGTGATGAATTATGGCTCCCTTTGCTTCTTTGTCAGGAAGTGTAATGCCTTTGAAAATAGTGGCCTTTCTGACAGCCTGCAGCTAGAAAGTGCCTTTGCACAGAGGAGGAGGAGGAGGATAGTGACCCAAGCTTGTCTGACAGCCTGCAGCTAGAAAGTGCCTGTGCACAGAGGAGGAGGAGGAGGAGGAGGATAGTGACCCAAGCTTCACAGAGATGCTCTCTTTCTGCCTGGCCTCAAGTTTAGATCTACTAAATTTTAGGTGCTGATTGCAGCAGGAGCCTTCTTTAAATGGCCTGGCAGAGGGAGATGTCCCATAGGGTTTGCAGCCCTTCTGATTTCAACAGAAAGGCAGTTGGGACTCCTGGCTTTTTGTGTCATCTGTGAAGCAGCTTTGACACAGGAGCTGCTTAACCTTCTCATCAGCCTGGGCCATGTTTTTCCCCCATGTTCTGTATGAGCAATGGCTTACGAGGTACAGTGGATTTACTGGATTAATTATTTTAGCCAGTGTGGCAAATCCTCCGATTCAAAGTTATTAAAATAGGTGTATTTGAAAGGAATTCACAATTGAAAAGTACTTCCCTCTCTTCTAGTAAAGCATGGATTTAGATGCGAGTAAAGCCTTGCCTTGTTTGTGGAGGTTGGGTTATTTGAATGACGGCAGGCTCAATAAATCAGTGAAATGCCTCTGACAGCGATGCGCTCATGTTGATATAAAATACTTACGCTGGCAAACTAAATCCAAATCCGGGAAGGCATGAATCTGCCCACACCAGGGGCTGTGCCAAGCAGCTAATTTGAGGGATGGGAGAGGGCAGCTGCCCCACCCCGGCAAAGTTGCGCCAGGACAGAAACAGTGCATGGACCAGGCCCAACGCAGGTCAGAAAAACCTCTCTTAATTTACCTTCAGAAACAGAACTGCGAGGCTGGAAGTCAAGAACACTCGTGTGCTGCTTATAGTTTGCACTATGGGGTTTTAGGATGTATCTCTGCTCTGTTTCAGACATCCCTATTTGGTGAAGGCACCTATCTCACCAGCGACCTGAGCCTGGCTCTTCTGTACAGCCCTCACAGTCTCGGTTGGCAGCGAAGCGCCTTGGGCTCCATGCTCAGCTGCGTCGCTGTTTGTGAGATCATTGACCACCCAGATGTGAAGTGCCAGGTGAAAAAGAAAGGTGAGTCTGTTGCAATAGCAGCTACGTGTAGTTCGTCTGGTACACAGCACTTCTTGAATTACAGCTTTGTGCATATTTGGCAGCGGATAAACAGTGCAGGATATGGACCCTCCTGCTTGCAGGCCTCACTCAATCCTTTGGTATTTTATTTTCCCTGTTAATATCAGCAGCTCTTCAAGTGCTGAGAGGGAAAGCCACCTCCCTTTCGCCCTGGTCTGGGCCATAATGCCATCCATACCAAGGATGACTAGGAGTGGTGTAGCCTCAAGCAAACTTCGGGCTATTCTTGGATGCTGAGGGATTCAGGGGAGTACCACGACTAGATCTCTTGTGGGTACATACGTGTGGCTTGGTTGGTTGCTTTTGTGCAATCACTTGAAGTTACGTATCTCTTTCTTCCTTTTCTGTTCCCCAAAAGACCTCTTATTTTCTCTTCCCATGCAGATTCAGAAGAAATAGACAGAGAAAGAGCAAGAGTGAAAAACAGCGAAGGGGGTGATGTACCGCAGAAGTACTTTGTCGTCACAAACAATCAGCTTTTACGAGTTAAATACCTGCTGGTATATTCACAGAAACAGCATAGGAGGTAAGAATTCAATGTCTAGAGTGATGAGCACGCTATTACAACCAGATCAACACATCTCATTCTTTAATAACTACCAAAAACAAGCAAGCAAGATACGCTGCACTGCCAGAATTTGGTTTTAGCCCATTTCCTGTGGAAATAAGGCTTACACCATCATGTTGCCTCTGTCGTTCTTTGACACTCCCAGGCTCAGCTAAATTTGCTTTTTCACCAGACCTGTAAGCTCTCAGTGTCTTTGAGAGCTCTGATTAGCTGTTTGTGGCAGGAAACGGAGTGAAGCTCATGAGCGCAGCTCTTAAAACGAGGGCGGTTTTAACTCTGCCCTTTATCTCAAGTGGCAGCACTCACCCAGCAAATCAACACATGCGTACAGGGCAGGCGGTCACAGCTCCCAACCGCAGAGAGGTGTGAACACGGGGAGAAAGGACAGGATTGCACATTGAGACTTAGGGAAGCGGGACAGGAATTGGGCTTTTTTCAGTTACAGTTAAAGCACAACAGCTTTTTGGTTTTATTGCATTAACAGTTTAAAATCACAAACCCCAAGATACTCTTTGCCAAGGTGTTCATGCGTCTCTGACAGAATTAATGCATTTTTTCCCTTTTCAGGCCTTCTAGTGAATCTTCCTGGTTTTACAAGCACCGTTTTGCCGTAATGATGATGCTGTACCTGCTGCTGTTGATAGCCATAGGTGCCAGCAACTCGCCAACCTTCATCTACTACTGGCACAGAATGTTTGACTCGGAGAGATGAGTTGCCCGAGACGATAAACTCTTATTTTCACCATGTGCCTTAATAATATCATCAAATCTGCAATGCACTGCATCTGTGCCAGAGCTCGGGAAGTAAAGGTGCCTGGAGCTTTCCAGTTCTGCCTCCAATGTATTACCCTCATGGCATCTTTCAGTTTATTCTTATTTCTGTGTTCCTGTGATTGACGAGGATGGCCAGTACAGCTGAAAAGGATCACAACGGTGCAGCTTGGCATGAATCAACTGTTAAGGGTCCATGGGAAAAAAGTTACTTAAAATTAATGGGAGTTTAGTGTGGAAACACTCAGGTGTAACTGTTTTCTGTCTGACTGAGGTGGTAATATTTGCACAAGTTGGGGAGGAGGGGTTTTCTGTACGTCAGGCAAAGCAACCTGTAAGGAGTCTTACCAGTTCGTTTTCAGAACCTGGATTTAGTGATGTTTAGCATGTTTCAGTGCAGATGGGATCACTTGTAAAACTAACTTTGCCTTTGGCCAGCCTTTTTTGTATCTGAGCATAACGATTGTAAGAAAACGACGAGAAATAAAAATCACCATCAAAATGGAAGAAGTTAAACGGTTTCTAGCATGGTTTTTCTTTGTCCTCGCTGTTAAACATCTGCAAGGTTTGTGCTCTCAGCTGTGATCGGCCTTCTTTTAAAACACATGTATAGGTATGTGGAAACTCTCCCCTTCCTGTCCCAGTCCCTTGCCATTGTTCAAAGCAACCTACAACTACTTGAAGCTGAAAAAGGAGCAAATTACTGTCCTGTGATTAGTGGCATGGGATAAAGCTGATGAAGAGCCCGGGGATTTTAGACAAAGAAAAGCTAAGTATATCCCACAGTTCAAGCTTGCCGACTGCCTTTTAGTAGCAGACTTGATAAACGTGAGTTTTCATTGCACAGTGAACTCTAACCACACACACAGAAAATCTCATCACATATTTCCAGCAAATGAGTCTATGATTACTACCTTAGTCATTAAATATTTCAAAGAAAATCTCTTCTTTCTCTGATGTTGTTCTGGTACCTAATTGCCAGAAATAATGACCTGGTAATCAGGTTTTCTAACTCAAGGCTGAGAACGAGTTCATTTACAGCAACCCCTCTTCTTGGTGGATGGAGCTAGAAGCATTTATTCCAGTTAATCTTGCTGCTAGAACAAATTTATTTATTCACCATACAGCTTGCAAAACAAGAACATTACAATCCAATTCCCCCTTACCTTTTACAGTCCATTAATAATGCTCACTGTTACAGCACATTGGGCTGCCTCAGCCCAAGAAATGTATGTGCTAATTAGAGCGCTGATTTGCAATTAAAATATACATAAACTAACAATTTATTGCACCAACAGATCCAACGACTGTATAGTGGTTTACTCCTTCATATCCTAATACAGAAACTTAAGGTTTGAGACACGCACAAGATTCCTGGGAGTATTTGCTTATTTTTGGTCCACCTCAGCACATTGTATGTAACGTTGTGCCATGTATGTGTCAGTTTAGGGTAAAACCAGCCAGAAAACCAGAGGTATTTGATGCTACCTAAAGGATATCACATTGTTAAAGCCTATAAAAGAGACAATTTTGGGGAGAGGTAGGGGACCTTTGGAAAGGGAGGAGGTCGGGCAGTGGTTGTGGGGCTGCTCGCACTGCAGGGAAAGGCACAGACCTGGGAGGCCGCGAGTGATGAAAAGAACAGATGGGGAGGGATTTAAGGCTCGCTACTTAGGGTTTTCTTTGCATAGGAAAGTTTCTGAAGAGTAAGCAGAAGGAGTAAATGGTTTTTTTTGGCTTTAAGCCATTCGGCCGTGCCATCTTCCAAAGCACAGGGCAAAGAGCATCCGCACAGGGAGCTGGTCCCAAGTTGATCTGCACCAGCTGCTCTGGACTATATTTCTCAAGAGAGAAAAAGTACCAGGGGATTCTCAGGGCAGACACATCAGCAGGTATTTAAGGGGAAAAAATGGCTTTTTCTGCTTTCAACAGTTTAAACAGACCCACAAGAACAAGACAGCTGCAGATAGGGGCTGAGCCCCCGTGGATGTGCCTTGAGTGCCCCTCGAAGTTGTTGTAGCCCCATCCCTCTGCAAGGATTCTGGGCACAGCCTCCTGGGTGTTTCAGCTCCACATCTGTGAAGCGGGGAAACGTCGTCCCCAAAGGCAACGGGAAAATAAATAAATGCATTTAAGGTGCTCAGCTTCTACCTTAGCGGGCCAGCAAAATACTTAATATCCTACTCCCACGCTTGTTTGCTGTGCTCCCCGCTGATTTCAGCATGTGTTGCCCAACGTGGCGAGAGGCAGCCAGCCGAATTAACGCGGGTATTGTGCCGAGTGACTAACAATATTATGAATTAACCCCAGGTTCGCGTTAACCTCTTAAGCCACTTGCGTGGCTCTTTGAACGTGCACATAAAAATGCTAATGGGGAATGAATCAGAATTTCCTCCCGAACAAAGGGCCGCTGTGCCTGGAGCCGGCAGCCCAGGGTGAGGTCGAGGAGCTGTAAAATATAGAGCTACCTGTGCTTATTAATACGTTCGGTACTGCGGTGAATATTAAGGAGCTGTTGCCCAGTCAGAAAAATCCGTGGTGCTGTGACTTCAGGAAGTGTGGGAGCTGGTGTTTCCTGGGGAAAACAGGCGGATTTTGGGCAAATGGGGGAGTTCTATAAGAAATACATACATATGTATATA